TAGGGTTGCATATGCGCAGCTTATCCGCATCAATGTTTTTGCGCTCTACTTCAGCTTTTAAACGTTGTAGTCCTAGATTTGTAAAATTTGAGATTGACACGTGTCTGAGTAGCTCAGATACATTTCTGAGCTCGGATCCCTCCAGATATCCTAAAATTGTAGATTATGAGTGAAAATTTCATATTACCTGCTCCGGCCAGCAGCGCGGTGATCCCGCCAATCTATCCTAAAATTGTAGAATTAGAACAAAATTTGAGATCAATATACTGCTGGACCGGTGACTCCATCAAACTATCCTAAAACTGTAGAATTTGAACAAAATTTGCCCATCTCAACTAATGAATTGCATAATGAATTGTGAAATGAATTGCAAGAATATTTTCGCTCAGAGAAGGAAATCTGGCATTCCACAAAAAGAAACACGATGGTGAAGCTGTTCTGCGCGGTGATTGGAGTCGGGAGCGTCTTCTCTGTGGACATTGAGCTCAGCGAGATGGTCGGTGATCTGAAAGAGAAAATAAGGGGGAGAAGTCTGGGTTGATCTACTTTGATGCAGATCTGCTGAAGCTGTATCTCGCGCGGGAGGGTGACACTTGGCTGAACTCGCGAGACGCAGACATTATGGCAGTTAAGGCGAAAAAAAATCCAGATCGAATCAAAAACCTCATGCAAGAGCACTTGCTACTGGACGAGACGTGCAGACTCAGCAATGATGAATACTTCGGTGACAACCTCGAGCAAGTAGACAGAGACATCCATGTGCTGGTGGAATGTCCGGATGAGCCGGATCAAGGCATCAAGTACAAGCGTAAGTGCGTTATTCTCCCCCACAACTACTGTAACGTGATTTTGATGCAGAACTACTTGATGATGTCAGGTCAGGATGGATTCGATGGTACTTTGATGGAGGATTGGTTATCATGGCACTTGTCATGGTCTTCTCTGCAGTCGTTGTTTACTGTGGAAAAGGAGAAACGTGCGTAAAGGCGACTACTTTCACCGTAGTTAATCAGAGTACCACAATTGTCCGAGCAAATGCGTCGATCTGTGTGTTGTTTCGACAAATAATCTCCGGCAAGATCGAACTGTACGTCAAAGAATTCGTGGATGCCATGGGCGATATCCATCAGTCTGTAGCTGTACCGGCAGCACTAGATGCACTCTCGTCGTACAGTAAAATCGTGCTTTGTGGACAGATAAAGAAGCTTAACTGGCTGTAAAAACTAGAAAGAAAGTCATTCTCGATCACGGGAATGACTGTATCGTCTACACCAACGCACCAAGTCGCTTGAAATCCTGTCAAGTGTGCTCGAACACTATGTGTTCACGTTGTAGCGTTAGCAAGAAACTTAGGTCGAGTCTTTCGACGCAGCTAAAATTCTGCGTATGATGTTTACTAACAGCAATTAAAGCCGATGCTCTCGAGATCGCAGCCGAGGAATTAGAGCGTCACAACCCCTTCGACTTCTATGAGGCGTCTACCAACTCAACTCCCTCATCTAAAATGATATTCCCTCAATTACTACCGCTCCAGACGCCACTAGTGAGTTTTTCGGATAAAAAAATAAACCGTTTCCTTCGCTCCGTCCCTTCATACAGCTTAAGGATCAATGCCTAGCGATGCCGTTGGATACTGATGATATGCTTGAAATTCCAGACGATGACAACGACAGCGCGTCGTTAGCTTCTTACGACTCGGAAGAATTCGGACTCATAGCTGGGAAGGGCTTTGCAAGGATGTCTCGAAAGAGTCGACAATGTGACGAAGATTCCAAGGAAGAGGCTGCACAAACAAGCTGGACTTTACTCTATGCAAGTGGACAGCACTATTTCCACGGCTCTATCGAGATGCCAGAGGATATTCAAGTTCGAGAAGAAGATCAAAGTCAATCCGAAAACTTCTTTGAGAGTATTTCGCGTCGACATGAAGGCGGTGTGGACTTGAGGGATATCCCGCGATTACTGCCGTTACTTCACATTCCAAGGTTGACGGAACGCCACTTCACAATCATCCCTCACTGAAGTAGATGATGTGGCCGACTTAACTTCGGGACAACGGGATGCAGTGTACCAAATGCGGGAGTTTGCGAGTTCCGTCAAAGAATTGGCAAAGCCTCGCACGACCGAGAGACTGGAACTTGGAGCTCGAGAACTCCCGTGGCTAGCTGAAGCCACGGAGAAAAATATTCCAGCCTTCTTTGAGCTACAGACTCATCCCACTACGAACAATGCTTTCGCAGACGCTGGCGTTCGGCTTGTCGTCATGAAACTCGTGATGCGCGGAGTACTGCTCGACATCATTTACTCTCGAGACTCGTACTTCGCTACGTTGCGGGACAACACGGAGGAAATTGCGCTTGAAGATACTCTCGTTCCGGACGGTAAATTTAATTTTTTTGAAAAATTCTAAGTGGTTTCGGACTAACTTAGATTAATATTGTAGCTGCCAATGCGGGGCCTTGCTACTTAGTGCGTCACTACAGGTGTGTTTCTATTGATATTTACGCTTTATGTTGATTTTTAACGTACGTACAGTGACGAGGATCTCAAGCAATTGCTGTTGTGGTGTCCACTTCCCGTGGATACGCCGTCTATGCCACTTCAATTGAAATCTAGAAGTAATGGATGGAATTCCCGCGTTTTTACAGCAAACGACACGCAGCGTTATTGTCTGATTGCAAGACATCGTCAATTTCCCAAGAAGATGAACTCTCCTAGTCGAGGGAATGGAGTAAAGCAAAGCGAGGGAGGCGAGTATGGGGATATCGTGGACGATGCAGTTGTGTTCCAGTTACACCAGTTCGTTTATCACGGGAGTGCTCAACTTCCCACTAGGATGCTCGATGACCCTGGGGCTCTAGTTAGTCGTGGGTTCCCGATGTTACGTGCACAAGCAAGTGAATTCGCATTTGCTGGCGGGTTCGACGAAATTCTGGCTCCTGGAGGGGAGCACGAAGCTGAATTCCCTCACACAAAGTTCTTAAGTCGCTTCGCTACTGTTCATCAACGATTTCAAGAAGAAATCGGAAACGTACTTCTGGATCTGCTGATTGGGGCTCAGAAATGGGTACATAGCTATATGAGGGAAGCTCCCACTGCTAGTGGAGGGAACAAGCTTATTGCGACGCATTTGGCTCGCTGGCTCGAGATCAAAGACGGATCGGAGGCGTTCTTCGAGCTCGAGTTGGCTCGTGGCTCGCTCTGCCCGTTCGCTCAAGTTGTGGACGAAGATCAAGCGCTGGACTTGATGGTCTGGAAGGGATACGTGCATGATGCATTGCTGGGCGTTATATACCGTCGCGGCAGTTTATTAATGACTCTGAAACCAGTTTTAGAATCTTCAGATCTGGACGATGATGCTCCAGACCAACTCTTTGCTGGCGTTCCAACGCATCTGAACAAAGGACGCGGTTATCTCGTCTGCCGTCTGCCTAGTACAGCAGGAAACGCCAGCGTGGCTGGCGGGAGCCAAGCTATTGCTGTGGCAAACTAGTCTCAGTCTCGAGCATGAAGAACTAGACGAGGCTCAAATCCAAGCCAGTGAGAGCAAAGCGCCTTGCAAAGACTGGTTCGAGGACGACGAGAAAGGTGACTTCAAAGCGTCAACAAAAGCTCAAGCTAAGCATATTTCTGTCCGTCCTGCAGAGTTTCCAGATGATAAAGCTGCTTCTATTGCAGTGCCTAAAGCGGACAAAGTGACGAGACCTCATCATGTGTCTATACTATCAAGTAGCGAGGCTCTTCTAGCCTTGCAAGCCAAAGCTCGCGCCTCAGCGCAACGTGTGCCTTGGGATTTAGAATCATTCTAGAAAAATCTAGACGTTTTATATTTCCATTCTAAATTTCATGATTTTTTTTATAGATCTTCTATATATGTGATTTTGCCTGTTGGACTCGACGCAGTTAGTGCAGTACAGAGCTCTTGTACTTCATGACTAAGTAGCACGATCGTGTTCTTATCTGCAGCCACATGTTCTCCATTCTCTTGTCCTTCCAAAGCTGCTAGAGTTTTCTTAAGTTCCGCCATTTCGTCACATGCGTGATAGTATCGCGCTGTAGCTTTCTGCAACGCTCTCGCGTCCTCAAGAGAACGTTCCTGTCTAGCACGTAAGCTCTCGTCATGTCTTCGTACACTACTCGCTTAACGTCAACGTCGAACGTTGAACATCGGTAAGTTTACTCTCTGCTTTTGTAACATTGTCCTTTTCGCTTCTTAACGCAGCTGTGAGTCGCGCATTTTCTGCTGTACTAGCAGCCAGTAACGCCTGCGTCTCTGCTAATCGTTTCTTTGAGCGAGCTTTCGCTTCTGCACTATACGCACTGAGTTGTTGAAGACAGTGAGTCTCCAGACTTTGTAGTCGAGTCTGCAGTCCCGGGATCATCAAATTTCGAGTATGAAGATCTTCGACTGCACGTTCATATTCATCTCGAATTTGCATAAGGACAGGTGCGTACACACTGAGGCCGTCGATGAGACGATTGAGAGCTTCTCTTACGATTTGTAGTCGTCGTAAACTGGGCTTTCTCGACTCTCGCTCTCCATCCAGCTCTGTGTGAAGATACTCGAGGAGTTCTTGTAGTAATGCCGGTCGTGTTCGACTATCGTCTAGTAGACGTGTACGGGTATGGAGCTTTTGTACTTTAGGAGATATTGGAGAGAACGCATCGTGATCAATAAAGTCGGTTGGGATACGTCTCGGACTTTCAGGTGCGAAGGTTAAGGGCCAGGAAGAGACTTGGATGGGTCGTGATTTATCGTGTTTTCTCGGAGATGGGGAGATGTCACTGGTGGTTTGTAAAGGGGGTAAGGACGAGGTGGTAGTTGCAGAGCCTTTCGCTTGTGTTGGACGTCGAGGTGGCGGACTGGCAAGACCGACGGAGACGAAATCCATGCTGAAAACTTGTGAGCGGTCGAGGACTACGAGCGAGTTATGAATAGTTTCAAGACCAACCGTTTCTAAGTTTGGCTTACCGAAAGTTGTTCTTATTAAGACGACGAGATGGGGAACGCACTGACCGTCGACGTGGCTGACCCGATCGTGAGCGACGACCCCCTGCTAAATGTACACGTGACAAATTATGTGATGAATGACGCGATCTGAATCTTATGAATATCGTGTTTTTTGAAAGGAATATAAAGCAGGTTAGTGCGAGCGTGAGGGCGAGACTTGCAAGGTTTAACTGTCTTCTTTTTCTCTAGCAACATTAGATGATTTTCGTGATGCGAAGGAGAACTTTGAAACCTTGCAAGGAACTTTAGGAGACAAGATGAATGTCAATCCAGAAGAGTTTGATGACATTTTCTCACTCATCTGTCAAGATTCACTCGAACATTTTGCACTTTTCGACTCGTGGGAAGTCGGCAAGGCAAGTCAATTATTTCTTTTCTTATAAAAAAACTTTAAAAAAATCTTATAGCTTTTCTTATTTAAAATCAGGTGGATGTGACGGAAGTGTTTGCTGTGATCATCGTGTACTGTAACGCGACGATGGAGGAGAAAGTCCCATTTCTATTTGATCTCTTCGATTTCGACCACTCCAAGATGATATCACAGGATGAATTGGTTCTACTGATGCTTTGCACGACTAGAGGGCTCTGTAAAGTGGTTGGTAAGCCCAGACCAGCCACAGACAGTCTTGAAGCCTTGCTACTGACGCTTTCTCGCGCATTGATCGGGATCAGAATGGGAAAATTTCACTTGACGAACTTACTGAGTGGATAGTACACGAGCGAACAGTGGTGACTTATCTTGCGAAATTCGCGAATACTCGAGTAATTTACGAGAACCAAGTGCAGTATGACTTGATGCTGAAGGAACTATCTACCGCATTCCTGAATTTTGCCGAACCAGAAAAAGATAAACTGAAATTCCAGTGCTCCGAAGATGTCTGTGAGGAACTAATCCAGCGCTACTGCCCCGCAGCTGGGAAATACGAGATCGATTTCTTACTGCAGAAAATGAAGAAAAGTATGAAAAATACGCGGTCACTCGTAAAATACGGAGAAAGCAACGTTTCAGACAATGCGATCTCCATGGACGCGTTCTTTTTCGTTCTTTCACCATTTATCGCGTTCCTTGCTGCTGACGATGACGGAGAGCACTCGATCAATATCAAAGAGCTAAAAATATTGCTCTGGCTTATGTTTGGATCGGAACCGAGCTCAAAAATGGTCGAGAATTTCAAGAACGCGTTGGATAGCAACCACGATGACTCTCTTAACGCGATGGAGTGGGTCTCGTATGCTCTTGAGACCAATGAACAGACCGGAAGCCAGTCAATCGTCAACCAGATCCATCTTCTCTTCGCGACGTCGGACGTCAACGGAGACGCCATATTGACTCTACCAGAACTTCAACGTGGTCTGATTTCTATTTTCACAGACCATTTAGAACCTGTAAACACGCCGTCTAAACCAGTCAAAAGTGTGGAAACGCGACGCCAAGCGCAGTTTTCTACCATTTCAAGTCTTGCCACCGATCTGGTCAAGGAAATCATGGGGGAACTCGATGCAAATGACACGCGGCGTATCGAATGGTACGAGTTCCGACAACATCTCGAGTACCTTGACCGCCGCGTGATGGAGATCAAGACTTACATCGAAACACACGTTTTAGGCTAAATACATACGCTCTATAAATGGAACAGACAAAAGATTAAAAATAAACTGAGGTAAAGCACCTGGAATCTGATATAAATTGTTGCAATTTAAATACCTATCAGTGATAGCTATTTTGCATGTGACATGTACCTCCCGATTAAATAGGCAGCCAGTCAGATTCCACATTGGGGGTAGTTTGGAGGACGATCCAAGACCCGGACACTCCGTGAACGGCCAGCGACAAACAAGCAGCACAAGCTGAGAAAAAGCGTCAAGAAACGCACACAGCAAACAGCTCCGTCGTCTTCCAACAGACAAGGGCGAACCTTTGTTGCAAGCGTCGTGACTGCATCCAGCACTCAAAAATGAGGCCGAACACAGTCGAACGGCAACCCTTTGGAAGATCTCAGCACCGTCACCATGTGCAGCCCCTCGCAGCAATTCCTCTGCACCTCCAGCACCATTTGCACTGAGTTTGCACTCGCCATTCGCCACTCCATTGCGCTCCCCGATATTTGGCAAATACTTGGTGGAAACTTGCAATAAAGTCGAGGAACAAACTCCAAAAGACGCCACAGCAGCACGTGACACACCCGAGCCACAGCCAACCGACATGGAGCCAAGCAGAGAGCAGGATAACAGCACTGTGTATCAATCACCAGACACACTCCAAACAGCAAAACGAGGTAACAAGAGACACTTGGAACAATAGTAAACCAATGTGTAAGCATTGTCTACAACGGAGCAGAGAGCACGTAATATACACATCGAGTCCTACACACACCACTGAAACCCCATCATTTCTTTCTCCTTTTGTCACTTAAATCCTCGTTGTGACCCGAGTGTGAGGAGAAGAAAGAGGTCAACAAACAACATGCAACACACTCGGACGAGGTTTACCCCCTTATTGAAGCCCCAACAAATCGAAGAGAGCACCTACAATAAATAGGGCTCCCCTCACTCTTGTCTAGGGTTACAGGCAGCCCATCAGACCACCTAATATCGGTCGCAGTGCGCGCAAAGCCCAAACTACATGTAAAGTACTGCTCCACTCAATGTAAAACAACACAAATACACCGGTACACTTTGTTCCAGATCTCCACCACCCATCGCTCTGTGACAAGGAGACTCCAATCCCCCTCTCCACTCCATACCGGCAGCCACAAGGTCCAGACGACGTACACACACCACCCTGGCGTCCCTGCAGCAAGTCCATGAGTCTTAAAGTCTCCACACGCACGCTGTCCCTCGCTATAAAGTCTCCATCATCGGCCGCCATGTACAGATCTGCACAAAAAGTATCAAATATCTGTTTCTTAACCGGTTGTCAGAATAGAAACCTGATAAATCGGATTGAATGCAGCCAGACTGACTAAAATGTTTAGCGCTCGTAAATAATATAAACAAATGTTATGATTTCAAGAAGTGGATTCTACAAAAATTAAATTACATTGGGCTACTGGTTCTGCAATCTGTACAGTATTTGCCATTGCAGTTTTGTTTCTTGCTCTCGTAGCCAAACAAATATCACGCTAAGCACGAAGCTCGAGTGTAGATGTAGGTGCATCGGTGGATGGTCTTTCTTCCATATTCCTCAAATGTAGACATTTTGAAGCGTCGTTGGCTGAATCCTACTACGTAGTACTGGAGACGATGACCGAGCCAGCAGTGTTTCCTGCCTTGGCCAGAGCTAAAAAGCTCTTTCTACTTCGTAATCAATCCACAAAACGTCACGAACGGGAAGCCACAGTGTATCATCAAGCTCAAGGTGTTTCGAGCTTCAGCAACCCAAAGGGAAGACGAGTTCGCCCACAAGAACCACATCGTGGTGCAGGACCGCGTCGATACACTCCTGCACTCGCTGAATTCTGCTCGGATTTTGATGATCATTTACGGCTCATTGACAGCGACTTGTCGCTACTGAATACGTCGGTGAGACGGGAGTACCAACGCGAATCGTTAGCTCTCGAGAAGCTAACCTCGGCGCTGCTGGATTCGAAAGTGAACGTTAATGAAGTACCTTACGTAAACCAGGCGGAGGTACGTGTTCGTCGTGTTCGACTACGCGTTAGGAGGCCGCGCATCAAACTTCGAATCATCCTCCAGTCTACACCTAAAATGTCAACTGCAAAGCAGCCACAGCCAAGTCCTAACTCACTTAGTCGAGCTGCTATGCTAGCACATCAAGCGATGAAGGCGTGTGTTCTTCAGTCATACGCTCGGTTTTACCTTTATCACTGCTTGTACTGTGGGGGTCCCAGCCAGCTCGTTGCTGCCAGACAACTAGCCACTCGATGTCGTCGAGCACACGCATTTCGTCACTGGAGACGAATTGTTACTCAGCGTAACAAACTGCGACTTCGCTGTCTTCGAGCTCAACAACGTATCGACCGCTGTGCTGCCTCTTGGGCTCATTCCAGAGCTTTCCAATTTGTTGATACAGAAGGTAAATACGCCATGGCCAAGAAGTTCCACCAGCTCAAACTTCTTGCAAGCAGCTACCACTCGTGGTTGGGCTGGTATCAAACGTAGATTTTTCTAAAACTACTGTTGTGTAAGGCCGCATACACACAACAGTAGTTTTAGAAAAATCTTGCGGCCTTATTTCGACAAACGCGATGCATCTCAATAAATGATATTCTCAAATTTGTGTACTGTATGTGTCATTGTACTACAGCCAATTAATATTATCTCTCAGGTATTAATGCTACTTATTTTGGCGAATTTAAATGTACTACGATAGCTTCCCCCATTTCAACATCACCGGATAACGGATACCGTGGACGCCATGGCGACGGTATCGGGCCAGACGACGCGAGCGCGCTCCATCGTGACAATAGATGGGTACGTGAGTCGCGGAAGGGCTCCACCCGATTCTGTGCCTCGAGATCACGCTATGCTGCAAGATTTCGCTGCGTATTTGGAGCAGCGCCTCAAGTGTGTGAACATGTTGATGCTGCGTCGCATCTTTGCCGATTTCCTTAACGAACACGAGAACACGTTGGTCCCCATGATGCAACACGGCTGTACCATCATCACCATGTACCCGGTGCTGAGCACCAGCTTCCAGAGACGTCGTGAAGCGGCACTTCTCCTTGCCAAACCAAAGCATCATCTGGACACTCGTGGGTGCGTCTTCCTGTATCTACAGCAGCGCGCAGCCACTCGGAACATGGCGCTACTTAAAAATTTGTTCCTTGAGTTCGTGTACAAACGGGAGACGTCGCTAATGGCGTTCGTGGAGAGAGGGTGCCAAGTGATCAGTGTCATCCCCTTTGAACTGCCGCAGATGACGCAGCTGCCACCGCCTCCAGCACCTCAAGAATATCCTTGCGTCGTGGAGAATGCAACTGAGCGGCCGCAAGCTGCGTCGGAGTCTGTGGCGAAGACAAACACAAAAAAACGGAAGCGCAGGACAGTGCAAAGCCGTCGACAGCAGTAGCGTAGATGCCTCGTCGTTGCAGATGAAGTAGCTCCCTTGGTCCACCCAGAAGAGGACGAAAGGGAAACAGAAACAGCTGGGAGTCGGGTGCAGCAGACACCATCCGACACTTGTGATGAGGCCGAGGTTTCGACCAAGCGTAGACGCATAATCAGCAAGAATGCTAGTGTGGCACCAGCCTCTAGTCCTGTTGAATCAACCCCAAAGCGCCCTAAACCGGCAAAAGAAACTACGAAGCCACTACAGGAATCGGCTTCTGGACCTGCTACTAGCTCAAAGCCAGTGCCTGGCAAGACGAGAAGTACTTCGTTGTCGGCTGCTACGTCTACAGTTATACCGGAATCGGTCGAGTCAGGCGAGACGGAGGTTTCTAAGAATACCCCAAAGCGGGGGAGAAAGTCGAAGGCTACCACAGAATCAACACAAGATGGAGCCTCTGTAGCCACAACGGAAGTGGCCAAACCTGTTGTGACACATGCTTTACCACCCGCATCCAAGCGCTGCAGGAAGTCAAAGACTAGCAAAGTGTCCATGCCGGATCTTGTCTCTGCAGCCGTATCGGATTCGGTTCAACCTGCTGCGGCGGACACCTCTACGCCAATTCTGAAGCGTGGAAGGAAGTCAAAGACCTGCACTTTATCCCTGCCAGATGAGGTCTCTGTAGCTACAGCTACTACGGCACCAGCTAAGCCCAATCGCGACAGGAAGGCTAAACCCAACGCATCGCAACTACAGGAGGCAGCCTTTATACCACAACTGGTGGAATCTGTCGTGAAAGACGCTCTAACGACCGATGCTAAGTCGCCCTCGAAGCATGTGAGAATGACAAGGGCTAGCACAGCAGTGCGACAGGATGCAGCCAACATGGAATCTACCATGACGGTAGCTTCTCCGACCCCAAAGAGAGTGAGAAAGCCAAAGACTACTAAGACGTCACTACAAGATGCAGAGTCGGTAGCTGCAGCGCCACCTGCGGAGTCTGCTACGATAGAGGCTTCAAAGGCTACCCGAAAGCGTGGCCGACCATCCAAGATAAGTATTGTGTCAGCCCAGGATACAACATCTGCAACCGCACCAGAACTGGTCGAGCCTGTCGTTACAGAGCTTGCGAAGTGCACTCCGAAGCGAGTGAGAAAGCTAAGGGCTGGCACTGCGTCACCACGTAAAGTTACAACCTCTGTGGCTGCAACGGCAGCGATGGAGTCTGTCGTGACAGAAGATGTGGCACCTAAATAGACTCCAAAGCGTCGAGACAAGTCAAAGGTTGCAACGGTGTCCGCTTCTGTAGCCACATGGATATCAGAAGAGCCTGCTATGACGAACACTGCAAAATCGACGCCAAAACGTGGCAGAGGAGTGAAATCTATCGATGCGTCACTACAAGACGCGGCCTTTGCCACAACGGAAATGGGTGATGCAGTTTCAGTATCTGCAACCGAACCAATCGAGCCTCCGAATACAACTTCAGTCACCGCCGTAGCCACGCCGGAAGTGGTGAGCGCTGTGGTGACAGACGCCCAACCCGCTGCTATATCGACTCCAAGGCGTGGTAAGGAGTCAAAGACGCAGACTGCAGTCG